TGGCGACCACCGTGATGGAATTGGTCGGGTCTTGCGATAGCAGAAAGGCGGTGGTGAGTCCGGAGACGCCTGCCCTGAGATGGCATCATCAGCAAAGAGCTTCCAGTATGGGCCGAGCAGCGCACCCAACGATCACGATAGTGTTGGTTGCCATGCTTTTCGTTCCTGGTGGATGGATGGATGGATGGATGATTCGTGTGTTGTGACGAGACCGATTACGGCGGGATGGAGATATGTCAAGCAGCGCGGGTGGAGACCGATCGTGATTAGCACGTGACCAGGCGATAGGCGATAAGAGCACGTGACCTTATCTCCCCGCGATCCTTCTCTCGGCGTACATACTGCCGGTACTGTGTAGTACAGTAACTTACTTCAATCTCATTAATGACATCCAACAAGTTGAATAGCTTCATTTCCTCGCTGCCTTGGTGTCAAAAGTCTATCCCGCCAACACCCGCCATCCGAAACATTCGCCATGACCACAACACAGATTCCAACCCAGTGATCTACGGGAGAGCATCATCCACCCCCAATTCCCCCATTTCCTCCGTTGTCCCCATTGTCCCCATCGTCGTCGCCGTCGTCCCCATTCCCGTCCCCATTTCCAGGACCATGAAGGATATCCGCCGCGATCTTTTCCGCCAACATATCTACCCACTCATCAGCTTTGATCCACAACAACTTTACACCTTCGATTCACCCCTTAGACAATCGAAAGGCAACCACTGGTGTAGCGAAAGAGACAAAACTCACAACACGTGGCCTGCGGATGCCCCGGCGGCAAGATAGCGAACGCACTCGCATCCACGACCCGCAACCCACTCACCCCAAAAACGCGGGCCCGATGATCCACTACCGCCATGCTGTCGTTCCGGGTTCCCATCTTGCACGTGCACGCCGCGTGGTAGATGGTCATGACCGTCTGCCGGATGACCGCCAGGATCTCCGCGTCCGTCTGCACTTTCGGCCCCGGGAAGTACTCCTCCCCGATCACGATGGGCGCCATCGCCGCGCTGTGCCACGCCTCCCGCATCCGCCGGTACATGGCCACCACCGTCTGCGCGTCCGCCTCCGTCGACAGCCAGTTCGGCTGCACGATCGGTAGGATGTCCGTGTCGTTCGACGCCAGCGTCACCGTCCCGCGCGAGCTGGGCGCCACCAGCGACCCGATCATCGACGCGTACATGAATCCGTCTTTGGGTTGGTCGAACAGCGGGTTCGCCAGGTCGCCGAGGAAGATGTGGAAGGAGATATACTGTCCTCTCGGGGCAAAGAGAGGGGAGAGAGAGAGTCAGTTGGCGATGGAAGGGAGCGGAGGGAAGGGAAGGGGGGGGCTAGGGGTATCGATGGGAAGACGCACCTCTGCTTCCGGCCAGCTGGGTGGGAACCATGACAGGTTATGCAATGTGTCAGCGGAGAAGCGCTGGCGCAGGGGATCTGGGATCTTCTCCCAGGCCAGGTAATCGGCCGATGGGTTGGTGAAGAGACCCCGCCGCACGGAGAAATACAGGGCGAGTTGCTCGGCCGCAAAGGCGTAGTTGTTGGCGATATTCGTGCCGGTGATGAGTCGGACCCGGTATGACGGACCAAAGAGCAGGTGATCCCACATGTTCTGACCGACTCCGGGGAGATCGACGAGCTGCGGGATGTTGTATCGACTTAGGGCTTCCGAGGGCCCGATGCCGGAGACCATCAACAACTGCGGGCTCTGGAAGGCCCCCGCCGAGACGATCACCTCCCGATTGGCGTGCAGGGTGTACGTTGATGTCCCGGTGCGTACTTCCACCCCGGTAGCCTTTCTGTCGGAGTCGAACAGGATCCGCTTCCCCATCGTGGTTTTGTAGAGAGTGAGCGTCGCCAGACGGTCGCTGTTCGCTGCGGCGCCCATGAAAGCAGCTTCCGAACTGCTCCGTGTTCGGTCCGATGGGCGGACGGTGAAGGGGCACCATTGCGCACCTAGTAAATGCCCACTGCTGAAGTCTTGTGTCTCGTTGATGCCAATCGCTTGCATTCCGCCAACCATCCAGCTGGAGAATGGGATACTGTCGATCGGGTAGGATACTTGGAGGGGCTCCCCGGCCGGAGAGTATGCGGCCGGGTTATACTGCACGGAGGCGTTGGGGGGGCGAAGCTCGTTCTGAGGAGGGTAGAAGGTGGCCGTTCGTTGGTAGAAAGGGAGGACCTGATCGAACGTGTAGCTCTGATCCTCGACGAGGTCGGCCCACCGTTGCATGGAGCCGTTATCGGGTCTGCGATCGGTTAGCAATCCATGGCTCAATGGCATGGGCACCTGTGGCTCGAAACCTCTGGTATACCATCACGTTGCATACTGAGCTAGACGGAGTCAGTGTCGTGGTCACATACTTTTCAAACACATAGTCGGGCGACGAGTGCCTTCTTACCAACCCCCAAACGTCTTGTGTCGGCCATAATGTACCTGGCGGTAGTTCGCGCCCGGGACCGGGGCCGTGATGAAATTCCAGTCAATTGGAGTGGTGGCAGTCGGACTCGATCCCAGGCCGACAATCACTGCCCCTGGAATCTTCGCCAAAGGCCAAACCGCCTCATAGAAGTCGCCGGCTTCGACGAGAGCCACGCTCAGCTTCTGCTCCGCGAGTCGTGCTGCCAGCGTGAAGCCGGACGTCCCGGCCCCAACAACCACATAGTCAAAGCTAGCATCGACCCCAAAGACCCCCTCTGTCAGATTATGTGGTTTGGTTTCCGCTCCGTAATACCCTGCAACGGCGAGCAGTAGAATGGTTAGGTGGGCTCTGAGCGAGAGCATGACAACGATGCGGGAGGTCAGCTCTGTGGGCCTTCGTGAAGAATCCGCGGGCTTGAGTATTGACTCTCACGCGTAGCACGTTGCGTAGTAGGGGAAAAGGTGATATATGGTACGTCGTGTGCAGAAATCCGATATCTGGAGACAGACCAATCGCCCAATGCTACTGTGCCCGGCTTATTCTTCGAGGCCTGAATGGCATATGATACACCCGGGGTATTCGAGGCTGTGTCACCTCTATCGCACTGGTGAGACAACTGCACATGCTTGATCAGTCTGGAGCATCGCAGTTCTAATGCCAAATTGAAGAATCATGCCCTTCCAGGTGACACTCCCTGTGACCAAATAGATGCTTCTTGATGGTTGGAAGCTATTCTCTTATATAACGTGACATCCACGTGAAGGAGATCCCATTGCGGAGATGATATAACAGTCCGAACTGCACCTCCTATCCTAGTGCCCATGTCAATAGCCCAGAAGCACAAGTCAGTATGTGATTTGTTTGTTTTCTGAGTGTACGATGACAACATCTTCGATAGGCTAGTCAAAGCGCACAACCCATTTCTCGCCAGAATATTTCCCATGCTCCACAATTCGCCGTTTCTTCTAGCTGCAGACCTCCGACTATTCTAATCCACCGCCTGGACAGCCACCTTCAGCAGATTCTCCTGACCAAGGGCGTTCTGAGTAAAGCGAGCATTGAACTTCAAAATCCGCTTGATCTTGTTGAAGCTCACCACATCCAACGGCAGCGGCTCAGCGCTGATGTACCAGGCCACACCCTCGGTACACGGAGGCGTCGTGAGGGAGCCAATGTATCGGTAGATATCGTGGGTCACGAGATGCGCGGTCAAGTATTTGAAGTCGAGATATCCGGTCTCTGTGGATGTTCCGGGCCTGTCGACGTCATCGAGATGGTTGAAGATGTAATCGAAGGGGTGAACGGCTTCGCCAGTCGAGGAGAGTTGGAAGAGGAAGGCTACCACTGCTATGCTGGTTCCTAGTGATGTGAGGCTTGGCTCAGAGAGACTCGATGTCGGGGATTTGGGCTGGGATGTAGCTTACCATAGTCCTTGAAGACGAAGTGCACCTCCAGCGGAAAGTACTCTTGGTCCACGCGATGCTCGCTCGGGGTGTGGAAGTGAAACTGGGCCAGCTGGTACTGGTGGTTCTCGCTGACAGTGAGAGTGCCCTGCGCCAGTGCTACCTCTAGACCTGAGCCCAGGTTCGAAATCTTGGCTTCATCGGCGGCGGGGATATCGAGTGCAAGGCTGCTGGATGTGACATAGTCAACCTCCTCGCTGAGGACGTGGATCGGGGATTGATGCTTCCCTTGAGAGCAGGCAGCGTTGGCCTTGTTTATATGGTGCCACGTGAACGGTCCCCCCAGCTCGGTGTAGTTGAAGAGGTTGATGGCGGCTTGATCACCGGCAGCGCGAGGGAATAGGAAGGTGTCGCTGATGCAGGAAGCGTAGGCTGTGGTTGCCACGAGGAGAAGGGTAAGATGCTTCATGGTGGATGCTTTGTTGACGAACGTGTAGGTGTGGCATGTTCCAGGCTGTGTGAAATCAAAGCTCTTTCGCCTTATGTTTGGAAGATTCCCTGAAAGAACTGTACTTCCGGGTCTTTGTGTGAATGTATATAGCCCTTCATCAAATTTTCGCTATTCTGATTTCTTTGAGTCACTGTAGATGTGTGAATGTAAGTCCCGCCGCGATGTGGAACTGCGGAATGATGACATCCTTCATCAGAGTATTCACACAAGGGTAGTGAATATCGAGGATCTCGATTATCTACAAAGTAGCCCGAGCCAGTTCCAGTTCTTCTGGCGTTTCACTCAAATCGATCTAATCATGAGCTACTCTGCTTGCGTACCGGGACCAGCGTCAATGTCCAGCGAGAAGTCTGCCGAAGAACAGACGGGGCATTGTAGTCATATTCAGATCAAATCGCTCTCAGGCCTTTACAGATTATGTGTCTGTAAATCGAACCAAGCAAATTACTCGCAGGTTCCAGCCAACTCGGAGGTTCCAGCCAACAAGACCCTGATCCCGCCACGGATTCCAGTCACCGAAGAAATTACAAATGCACTCAATTGACGACGTGCTCAGTCATCCAACGTCAGATCTACGAAGTCCGCCTCCTCCGCTGTCCTCTTCATCCCAGCTAGCGATGGCACGTTGGATCCGGGCCGAAAATTGCACAAGCCTGGCTGATATTACTGGGTCATCGATGCAGGGGTAGACTCAGATCTCGATGCCACAGGCTGCTCAGACGGGACATCCAGCGCGCGCATGCGCACGATATTCTCGTAGTCATCTGGAAGCAGGATTGCGAGACGCACCTGATCAAAGCTCTGGATCTGCTTACTGGCCTCGAGTTTCCTCTGCTGCCACGCGAGCTGGGAATCCCCCACCTGGGCAAAGGTCTTGGTCACCACCAAGTTGGCTTTGATCCAGCGAGAATGGTCCGTTTCGTGAGTGCAGTCCACGCGCGCCTGGTCGAGCTTCTGATGGATATGCGCGCGACGCTTTTTGTTCATGGGCTGTACCCATACTCGACTGACGGGGTCGCGGAGGAACCTGTTGATATCGTAGCAGTCGCCGCAACAGGATTGTACCGTGGGGCGGACGAGATTGCTGGTGGCCGAGCTGGGCTTCAGGCCGACGTAGTTGCTAATGTAGGAGTAGAGGATCGCCGGAAGCGTCTGGCTGAAGTCTGCGACGGATGGGTGAGCAGGGTTCTGTTGGTAGAATGGCAGGAAGGAGTGCAGAAAGGGGAGCCAAAGGTAGTGGAATGTGGATGAGCTTATGCTGGGGGCTCCGGTGACGACCCTTTGCCAGACGGTCTGGATCAGATCATTTTCAAGACTGTGACGAACCAGTGACTTGACAAATGCCAGTGGCTTTTCTGGTGTGACTGGGCCAGTGTTTTGGTCGAGTTCCACAACCTTGTTATTTTGGAGATCTCGGAGTCGTCGATATAAAAAGACGTACCACGTTAAAAGGTAGGAAAAATTGTAATACATTATGGCTATACCCACTACAGCATGACCGTCATGCTGATTTGGCTCCAGCTGCGGCATTATTGTTTAGTATTTGATTATGAACTGTGCACCCAGTTCCGAATTTTGTCGGAAATGGATGGAGTCCGGAGAACCAAGCGCGCTACTGCTGTATGTCTCTGCTTGAAGTATGGGTAGGCGAGGACCGTAGAATGCAATCTATAGTTGTTAGATGACCGACCCGAAGCAGACCGAAGTCCTATCCGTCTTGCACTTTAGCGAAGGAACTTTCTTCACAAGCGAATTGCTCCTGAGCCCAAGCGAAGAAGTCCATTGACAGCTTGCCCTTGTGACACCGGGTGGCTTCTTCAAAGAACGCTGAATCCTCGGTTCCGAAGGCGGCCTTGAGGATCTCGATCGTGTCTCGTCGGCGAAGATTCGACCGCTGGGGTACGACGGCCTTGGATTCTCTTCGCTCCTTCTCCACAGCCCAAATACGAGCTCCTTGAGCGTCTTGATCCACAGCGGGTCAGCATCCGGGGTTAACACAACTCTAGCATAGTACTTGATAGTTGTTGGCTCCGAGCCTTCGAGGAAGCGATGAATGGATAACTGATTGTTGATTCTTCTAAGGTTCGCTAGCTTGACTGTCTATATAATATCGCCAGTCTGAAGGCGGTAAGAAAGAATATTACTCTGCCAGTCTGATAGAGTATTAAGAAGTCGAATATAATACTCTTTCTTACAGAAAGACGAGGGCATGTCGCTATAAGAATATATACCGAAGCAAGAAACAGTAATAAAAATAAGAAATATAGAAATTAATATTATAAGAAACAGATTAAAATACAAAAAAAAAAATTGATAAGTTAAAGTAACAGCAGAAGTAATTAATATATTAAAGTAATAAAAAAACTAAAGTCGATTTATAGTTTAACAAATACTTATTAATTTTTTGCGAATTATCTTGTTAAAAGACTATTATATAAGCAGTTTCGATATAAAAATAATATTTTTTTTATTTTTATTTAGAAACTATTTCTTTATATTATACAGCAGATGTTGGTAATAAAATAAGAATATTATATTAAATAATTTATTAATACTTAAAAAGTAGACTTTAAGTACTGATATACAGAAGCTCTATATATAATTATTAATAAACTAAACTATATAATATCTGTTTTTTAGAAGATTTTTAGATACAGGGATATTTTTTATATTTAGTAGAGGGCTAAGATTAAAAACTTTCGTAAAGTTGTTAACTGTTGCTTTAACTGTAGATTTTTTTTAAATCAGATACTAATTAACTATCTAATTATAAAGCTTCGGCTTGTTAAGATTATTATTATTAAAAAATATTAATATAATAAAAGCTATATCTTCTTCGTCGAATAGAAGATATATAAATTCTTTATTATTATTATTTAAATTAGAGTATTATTATTTTTTTATTTTAATTTTTATCTTTTTATCTGTTTAAACTTTTTTTTTAAAAATATCGAGGAACTTCTTCGCGTTTTTAATATATTAAGAAAAAGACTTCGCGGCAGAAATAATATAATTCTTTATCTTAATCTGGTTTTAAATCTTATTTAATTAGTTATATAGATATACTTTACTAGATAGTTTTTTATAGCTAATCTATTATATATTATTTTTTTAATCTAATATATTATTTTTTAGCTTCTGGAGTTTATCGTCCGGTAAGTCGAATACTATATAAAGAATATTAATTTTTTAATTAATAATATTTTATTACTAGTAATTTATAGTTTTGTTAAAGTCTTCTACTACTTATTTGGCTTTATTAATTTATATTAGAAATAGTTCGAGAACTTTCTTTTTAATTTTGTATTTTAACTTAAACTCGGGCAATATATTAAAAAAATTAAGATAGGTTTTAAAAATATTCTTTTTATATTAGTTAATAATCCGATAGATATTTAAATAAATTTATAACTAACAAAAAATATAAATAATTAAATTATTAAAAATTATTTTATATTTATAAATATAGCTGGTGTTTTATATCTATTTAACTTTAAATTTTAGTAATTTAGACTCGATGTAAGTAGATAGTATTAAAAATAGTTAAAAATATTAGAAAAATAGGTTTATTAATATTATATAGTTAATAAATTAAATAATTAAAGTCTCTTTATTAATCTTATAGTTGGGGTATTATAGTATAATACCCGGGATCGGATTGGTATCTTAATAATCTAGGGCTTTTTTATTATTTTTTTTTTTAAATATTTTATTATTGGAAATATTAAAAATACTGGCTGTAGAGATAATATCTTCGAAAATTAGCTTTTTTTTATATTTAAAAAATTTATTATACTGAAGAGGATTGTAACTAGATTTAAAATTTAAACTATTTAATTATAAGTAAAAATAAATAGAGCCAAAGTCCGATCCAGAATCAGATATTATTTTAAAGTAGAGTTTAGAAAGTCTATAAAAAAAAAAAGAATTATTAAGTTAGATTATTTCTATATTTAAGATAATATTAGTTTTTTTAATTTTTTAATATTTTTATTACTGTTCCGGTCTTAAACCAAGTTTTTTTTTATTAGAGTAGTAGTATTTTATTATAAAAAAGAATTAAAAAGATTTAATATTTCTTTTTTTTACAGAGCCAGATAGTAAAATCCTGTTTTATAAATATTATTTTAATATTTTAAATAAGTTTTCTTCTAATCTTTTTTTATTTTTTTTTTTTTCGAATTTTTTTTTCTGCTCGGAGAACTTAAGTATATCGGCGATTATAATCTTTTTTAAATTTGTTGAGCTTAAAAAATAACATAAAAATTCAGTAAAAAAAAAGAAACAGATTTATTAAAAAAAATAATTTATATAAAAGTTAATATAAAAAGAAGATTATACAAAGATAATAATTAAATATAAAAAAAAATAGTCGAATGTTATATATTATAGTAAAAATAAAGTAAATAGTTATTATTATTTTAAACAACTATAACTATATTTTAAAATATAAGTTATATATATTAGTCTTTTTAAGTTCAGGCCATCGGTCAGTTAAAAATATTATTAATTATATTTTTTAATTAATTTTTTTATTTTCTATAGATTTTATTTTTTATATTAGATATTATATTTATTTATATATTCGAGCTATTTTACTAAATACTTAAAATTACTGTTTCGGAGATGTTAATTAAATAGAATCTTAATTTTATATAAGTTTTCGGTAATTAAATCAGATTCGGATAATCGGCGGCCGAAAAAGTTTTTTTTTAGAATATTTTTTAACTTTCTAGTATATAGTTCCAGATGCATAATACTAATAATTAAATAAATTTATAAATCCGGGGATAGTTTAATAAGATATATTAATACCGATTTTTTTTCTAGAACTTTAAAAAATCCTATGAATATATTATTAAGTTTTTTTTTTAAAACTACTAAAATCTTATAATCTTAGTAAAGATAAAGTTTTATTAGATTATCTTTCTTAAATACTATATCTTTATATTAAGTATTATATTAATATTTTATATCTATTTATATTATTTAAAGTACTTTTGTTGCCGTTATATATATAGAAAAATTCTGTGGTTGATTAGTTGATTTTATTGCTATACTAAGATTTAGAATTGTCGGTAACTTTATACTATATATTAATAAATATAATAAAAATTATATAAAAATATTTTTATAGAAATTCAGAATTATTTATAATTATAAAAGCAATTTGGGCTAATCAGCCGCATCTATTAAAAAAATAACTATATAATATAGAAAGATTTTAACTATCTGATTAGTTTTTTTACTTTATTTATCTACTTAAATATGACTTACGGTAATAAACTGCTGCTTAATACTAAGTAATTTGAATAATACTATTTATAAATCGAATAAAAACTTTAAATTCCGGTTATTAATAAAAATTTTAAAAATTTTTTAATTATCGAAAGTAAGCTTTTCGAGTAATAGACTTATCTATTATATTATATTCTAGTTATATTAACCTAGTATAATTATAATATGTTTTATATATTTATAAATAATAGTTAAAATAATATTATATTTTTCTTTATTTTTGCCATCGGAGAGTATAGTTATAATATTAATAATTAGAATATAGAAAAATATTAATAATAAAAAAATAGATTATAACTGTTTATATAGTTGATATTAAGAAATTTTCTTCTTTTAATATTTATAATAGTATACTATATACTGTTTTATCTAGTATTTATATCTTAAAAAAGTTAGTTTTTTTAAGTTTTCGATTATTCGATCTTTCTTTAAATAGCTAAATATATTGTACGTATTTTCGAGGATTTTTTTAAGCATTGTATTCGGTATATATAAAAAATACTAGATATTAAAAAATAGCCTGTTTTTTATATAAAAAGATAGATCGACTTTTATTTAAACTATCTTATTGTTTCTAATTTAGTCGATAATTTTTGATTATTTAAAATTCTTCGGATAAGCTTTGTATACTCGATTCTTAAAATTTTCTGTAAAATAGACTAATAGTATTGTAGATTTATTTTAAAGTATATTTAAATAAAACTTGTTATTATCTGCAGTTTCGGTAGCAAAAGATGATAGTTTTAAAAATATATTAAAAATAAAATATAGTCTTCTAAATTTATAGACTATAAATAAGTAAAAAAATTAAAAATATTATGCTGTATGGATAAATCTTAAGTTGAGTTATATTATTAATATTAATATTAGAAAGATTTATTTTAAAAGTAGTTTAATTATTTAATAGTCTGTATATACTACTATTTTTCAGACAGCCTGTATAAAATATCTATACTTTTAGATTATTTAAAATAAATCTGATATTTTAAGTTTTGTAGGTTAGTAGTTATATTCTATACTATTAAACTCTCGACTAAAAAAAAAAATTGGTTAAATAATATATATTAATAGAACTAAGGTCGGAGTTTATATTATATTATATTTTAAACTCGACTTATTATTTAAAAAAATATAAAAAAGTATTATTTTTATTTCTTTCTTTTTTAATATATTAATGTTAATATAGAATATTTGTGTTTTGTCGAAATATACAAAAACTAGTTTCTTATAGAAGAAATCCTTTATTATATAAAAAAATTAAAGTTTTATATTTATTAGATTAGTTAGTAAAGCTTTCACCGTATAATTCTTATATACAGTTTTATTAAGACCCTCGGAAATTGTTTTTATAAGTAAGATCTTATATTATTAAAAAAAATAAATTATTTTTGTATAAAAAAATATATAGTTTTTTAACTAATTTATCAGACTAATAAAGTAGTTTAATTTTATTAATATTTTTAAAAAATCGAGCTTTAAGATTACTGCTATTTTTACTTCGGTAGTTATTATATTAAAAATATTTATATTTTATCCAAAAATTTTAATAGATAAAAATCCGAGAAAGAATTTATCGAATAAAAAAGTGATTTTTATTTTCTAATATTTCTTAAAAAAGTATTTAAGATATTAAAAATAATTCTTAAATATCTTTAAGAATATAATAAAATTGTTTATATAGATATATATAAATTTTTTTATTATTTGAAAAAGATCTTCTACTTAGTATTAGATATATAGTATCAAGTTAAAATAGTCTATAAAACAAATCTTAAGAAATTTTTATTTATAATAAAATATAACGCCTGTAAATTGCTAATTTTTCGGATAAACTGGCTATTAGTAAAATATTTTAATTATATTAAAAATTAAAAAATATACTGTACTAATAAGGATTGCTATAATTTCTATCTAAATTAGTACTAAATATATATTTAGAATTGCTAATATATTTAGTATATAAATATCGATTACTGGATGTAGTTTTAATAACTTTTGTTCGGTATTATCGATAATTATTTTTGTAATAACAAAGACTGGGATATCTGAAGAAGTAAAGTTATCTAATTAATTTATATAGTTAGTTTTTAACAGCTTATTAAAAATATTATTAATAATTTTTTAATATATAGAATTAAGTTTATAAACTTTTACTGTTTTACCGATTTTATTCTTCTATTTTTTATATAAGAAAATACGAAGCTATTAATCTATTAAAATCTTAATAATATTGTTATTTGTTTATACTTCGGGGAATCTGGCTATTATCTTTTTAAGAGCTTTTTACTGTTCCGGTATACTATAAACTGTAATACCGATTTTTAAGATTTTTATTATAATAGTATTAGTCTTAAATTTTAACTTGTTTTGTATCTCTAGTATTACTAATATAAGGTTTTCGAGTAAGTTCTGAAACTTAAAAATTATATAGTAAACTACTGTGGTATTAAATTTTAAAATATTTTTAAGTTTGGTATAATAATTAATAGTAATCAGCTATAGCAAAGAGTTTAAAACTATAATAGAGATAAAATTTATATCGATTATATAAGTAAAAAAAATTATATCTATATATTATTTAAACTTGAAAATATAGTTTCTGTCGGCTGTAAAATCGAGACTGTAAACTAAAAGTACTACTTTATTATATATAGAGATTGCTATCTTTTTTTTAATAAATATTAATTAATTTTAACAGTGATTTGACTTTAGGGTAATTATAAGTAGAAAAGTTATATTATAATAATATACTACTTCGACAAGCCGGCTTTTAAAATTTATTTTAAATTTATATAGTCTAAGAATATTATAACTAATAAGAAAATATATTTTTAAGTCTTAGATTAAGTATATGTTTATATATACTTAAATTAATACTAATCTGTTATCGATTTTGGCAGAAAATAGAATTAATAGTATTATATATTTTATATTGTTAAATTTTTATTTAACTTTATAAATATAAACAGAATATTTTGTATTTATTATTAAAATCTCTAAAAAAATTGTTGCTAGCCAGGTTTTATCGACTATTAATATAATATATCTAAAGTTAAGATAAATAGTATTTATAATTTTGTTAATACGGATTTTAATTATTATATATTTTTAATTCTTAAAAAATTTTTTTGGTTTAGAAGATATAAAAAACTTGTTTGTATCGACTATTAAAGTATTCGGATCTGTATAGAATATACCCGGTTTGTAATTCGTAATATATGCGTAAAGTATATTATTAAAAGTAAATAATATAAAATAATTTAAGTACTGTAAATAGAAGACGTTTTAATATTCTTGATAATTTAAAGTATTCTAATTTTTATAATTATCGTTAGAATAATAAATATTATTATTTTTATTATTATAATATTTATTATTATAGTTGCTGTTATAATATTTTTATATACTATAGAACTGGTTATATACTCTATTAAGTTGGCTATACCGGGAATATTTGTTATAAAAACTGCTATTATTATTACTATTAGTCTTATTATAATATATTTTTTAGAATTTTCTATAATTATAGTTATTTTAATAATTGTAATTATAACTACAGCAGTAGTTATATTCTTAATTATTATAATAGTTTTTATAGTTTTTTTTATAATTATAGTTTTTTTTGTAATCTCAGCAGTTGTTCCGGTTGTTATAATAATTATTATATTTACTATTGCATCAGTCATCTCAATAGTTATTTAGTTTATAGAAGTCTATTCGGTCTTTATAGTATTAGTTTTTATTTTAATTATTTAAGCTATAATCGAATCGGTTATATAAATAATTATATTAATTATATTTCTAAAAAAAGTAAGTATTGCAGTTGTAATTCTGGGTTCTGTTTTTTATACTTAAATTTTATTTATCTCTCTAGTTTATAAAGCAGGTATTTATTTTATTACTAAATTTTTTTAGAATAGTATTTTATTTAGGTTTCTTAATATACTTTCTAAGTTCGGAGTTGATATAGTATTATATTTTAATTATTATATTATACTTGTTTATAGCACCGTATATTCTTACTAAACCGGAAATTTCTGTTATATAAGTAGTTAAAAATTGGTTGTAATATATATTTTATACTATATATTAACAGTTATCAAGCTATTTTTAAAATTAATTATTAGAGATCTTTTAGTAATCTTTAATAGCAGTAATCTAATAGTCGATATTTCTGAAATTAATAAGACCGATTTAATATATTTTATTAACTTATTAAATCTACTATATATTTATGTTTCTATAAAAAAGTATATCTATATTTTAACTTATAATTATAATATTTCTAGATAGTAATATGATTTTAAAATATATACAGAAAGCTTAAACAGTTTGATAATAAATTTTTCTGTTATACTTAACTAAATTTCTATATTTCTAATTAGAAGATATATTCGGATAGAAATATTTAATATCTAAAGCTTACTATTATATATTATTTAGTATTTAGAATCTATTCTGGTATCGAAAAACTGTTTCGTCGTCTAAAAAAAAAAATAGAAATAGAAGTAATAAAAAATTGCTATTATAATATTTTTATTTTTTATATTATTTTTATTTTTTTTGTTCGGTATATTTCTGTTCGTATATATTAAGTACTGTTATTATTATTTAAATAAATAATTATATGAATTTTATTTTTTAGGTGTTTGTTATTACTTCGCCTATAGTTTAGATAGATTAATTAATATATAAACTAACTATTTAAGTAAAACTGTATATATATAAGTTATTAATATAGATAAAGTTGTTTTTATAGTAACTTTAAATTTAAGTTTTTTTATATTAATATATTCGATATATAAATAATACTAATATAGTAGATATAATCTTAGTTACTGAATAAAAAATAAATAAGTTTATAAATAAATTAATTAAAATTTTTATTAATAATAGTATAGATAAATTAATTTTTTTTATTTTATTTAGTATTTAAACTTACTGTATCGATATCAGTAAGTCGATAAATAAGCCTAATATAGGTCTGAATACTAAAAAAAATAAATAAACTACTAAAAATAGTCTAAAAGTCGAATTTAATAATACCGGTATAAATAAAGACTTAAAAACTACTTTAACTAATACTAATATAATTAATTCGACTAAAAATATTAGTAAAATAAGAATAAGAAAAATATTAGTTTAAAAAAATATATCAGCTTCTGTTTCCTCGAATATTATTAATAAAGAAAAAAATATTTATAAAAATATAGATATTAGTAAATATATAGAAAAAAAGGATATAATAATAAGCTTAAATCTATAAATTATTATTTTAAAAGATCTCTTATTTATTTACTTAATAAAATAGTTGTATTTGTTCTTAATAGTATAATCTCGGCTACTTCGAGTTTTCAAAATATTTATAAATTATAGTAGTATTTAGAAGATAATTATTTGTATAATAGTTAGAACTTTAATAAAAATATTTATAGTATTTCTATATTTTATTTTTATAAAGTAAAGTATTTAATAGACAGTCCAAATAATATTATTTAAATATATTAATATATATACTGTTCGGAAGTAGATAGAATTATATATAACTAATTATATAAAAGTAAAGTTAAAAGTTTGATCGGACACGTAACCTATAATAGTTTAAATATGCGAAAAAAAAATATAAGCAGCAGCCAGTAATAAAATATACAAAAAATATAATAAATATAAAATCATAAAATCGATAAAATAAGTAAGAAATAGAATAAGCAAGTATATAGAGATTAAAAAAAAGTATATCAGTAATATTATAGATATTCTACCAATAAAATATTTATTTAAATAAATAAACCAATATAAAATATTTTTTTAGCTGTTTAATTAAGTAAGTAATTCTTAGATAAACCAAGAATTATAATAGAATATACTATTAATATTAGCTTCGAGCCTTCGAGAAAGTAATAAATAAATAACTAATTATTAATTTTTTTAAGATTTGCTAGCTTAATTGCCTACATAACATCGCCAGCCCGAAGGCGGTGAGAGAGGGTATTATTCTGCCAGTCCGATAGGGCATCGAGGAGTCGAATGCAACAATAGTTGACTCGATGTTATCCTCATCCTTCATGTACAACATGCTGCGGCCACTGTACAGCTTCTCCTGCAGACCTGGCCGCAGATGTATATTCTATTAAAAGATATCTATTTCGATAGACCTAGAATAAAATAAGTCTACTAGAATAGCGGACGGAAAAAGCAGTTCACTTAAAAGTTTATAATATATTCTATATGGCTAAATCAGTCTAATTTAGCTTTGGGTATAGATCTATATATATTACTTCTATATCGGACTTTTAGATTAAGAATAACTGCTTTAGGTATTCTAAACAAAATATGGATTAGACCCCTGAAAAATCCTGGATCCGGGGAAGTACAAAAACAATTTTGTTCAATTTAATTTATGGATCAGAACTAGAAACATATTAGAATATTAGAGTATAGCTTTACGCCGATAAGACATCTTCATAGCTTGCATACTCGAAATGCGGGCTCCTATGCAAAAATAGGCTTAGGTTAATAGAACTATCGTCATCATCATCACTTCTTCGGCAGACCACCTAGAAGGAACGACGCGGTCGAACATCGAGCTACCACTGCCACTGCCTATTGCAAAGATCAGCATAGTACATCGTGTGTATATGGTGAGAGGAGGTTTTACCGTCACTCGGTACCAATGCGTCACATCCGGCCCCTATTCGAGATACTATCAGCGACGCCAGTGGTGAAGAGATGGGAGGAACCCGGTCGGCGTACCTCGTTTCCTAGATAGCCTCGGTAGGATTCTTCCGGGGAAATATCTTCGAAACAATCTGCCTGGAGAATACTTTTGGTGTCTAGCGTCCTTCCCCGAAGCACCTTTTTCCCATCAAGGTCGACCAGCGATTTGACCTCATACGTGGTGCTCGTAACATCCTCCAGGGGATGAAAGCCTTCTGTATACATTGCATCGTACGGGTGATAGCGATCATCATCATCATAATCACAGGTCCCGTGCTCTGTCTTTTCTAGAACGGCGAGGAAGATGTCCACGGGCAGCATGGTGGAGATTTCGTATAGCGCCTGAACGCAGGCCAGGTCTCGCGTCTTCAAGGCCCTGAGGGAAATGCTGGCTTCCGTGTATTCGTGGTCTAGCTGGTACCAGAAGTGGCTTGTAGGACCGAGGCTTGCATCCTGCTCCACCCAGAGCTTGAGGGTCTTGTAAAGATAAGAGTTGTCTGGTGGTTGGAGACCTCCCGCGGGACGCGGTTGCGAAGCATCCAGGGCAAGATTGTAGGTGAGCACCCACCGATACCCGGAGGTGACCGGAAGCACTTCATGCACAACGTCTGAATACCAGCTTGCATAGGAGCATTGAGTGTTGGACAACTTGAAGGTCTTCTGCTGTCCGCGATGGTTCACGACCACCTCGCCTCCCTCGTGAGCAGAGGGGAGACCAATGACCAGAGTCGCAACCATCCCAGGCGCCTTCTCTGTACTTCACTCCGTAGATTGTTTGTTAGAGACATAGCTGGTTGAACTTTTGAGCCAGCATGTGACTTACTCGGTGTGCGGCTTGAACATGGCTCCCTCCTCATAGATCAACATCTTATACAACTCGGCATGAACGGTCGAGTCAAGGTCCAGCTCCCGCGCGACACCGGCAACCACTCGCTCGAGCAAGGTGTTCCAGCTCGGTCTTCGCAGTTCGAATTGACCCGAGTGCAATTCCCAGGTGTTGCGCACGGAGGTATCAATGATCGTTTCGCTTCCCTTGCCATAGGGGGCCTGATGCGCCTGCTCGATCATTTGTCGCGCTTGTGATTCCTCCAAGGGGAGGTAGATTGGACCCATACCGTGGACAAACACCCCTGGATCAACAAAGCCAATTTCTCCAGAGGATGCAAAAGCCGCGGGTGTTTCAATGGCATCTAAAGCATTCAGTAGACTGGATCGCAGGCCCATCATCTCATCCTCCGTGTCGGAATCACTCCAACATGATGCCATTTCTGCCATAGGGGATCACCTTCTGCCCTGCGCGAGTGTTCAGAGGTCCTAGAGATAGATGTGGACAGGTTCTTGTGGGAGAAGGCGGAGGAACGCGTGGACGATCAGGATCAACCGCACTTTGTACGCGCGATGAAGAGGGACGCGGATCACGAGACCGTGTCGAGGATGATCGTTCTCTACCCAAGTGTTGGGGGGGGGGGG